AAATTAATATTGCTTATTTTAGCACTTTTGCAAATTAAATATAAATTATAAATAGTCTTCTCCTCAGCACTTATGTGCTGTCCGTTACCGGGAGCATTTTTTTTAGCATCTATGAATTGGTGAGTTTTCTTCGTACGGCAAACAATCTCTTCATCTTTTTCATACATCGCTTTAATATCGTTAAATGGTATGGAACGTTCGTTAGATGGTATGAGCTCTCGCACTAATTTCTTCTGCTCATCAGCGAAAATATTGAACTTATATTTAATAATATTTTTACCAAATTTACCGGTAACGGTTAGAAGTGCATCCTTGAAATGTTTTTCGCTTCCCTTTGTGGGCTTGATATTTTCGCAAAAGGCATTCTCTAGAACGTAAACTTCTTTGGCCGGTGGTGTATGATTATTATTTGGCACGTACTGGAAGCCAATAGCACCAACACTTGCACTGCGCTCCGTCGCACCTGAGCTACTGCCGGAGCTGTTGTTGTCACCAACGGCTGAGCAGAAAAATGAGATGGATAAGTATAAACTCTAAAATACGGCTTCGTACTTATTAGCTTACCTTCACATTGCATAATGGCATCAAAAATTACTGAGAGATCATTTAGTAATTCGAATTCCTGACGATTAATTAAGAATTTCTTGATTTGATTGAGTATATTCAAGTCGTAATCCTCGCGTGCTTTATCAGCAAAATATTTGACATGTTTGCGCATCAAACAAGCGCACTCTAAAAGCTTTTCCTGACGCACCAGCGCACATGCATGAATCTGCCATAAAGAAAATTATATCATTTTGAAATATTGTCATAAACTTCTAGTTATCACAACTTACTTTCAGCGGATTTAACTGCACACTATACAATGATCCAGTTTGTGTAAAAACCACAATTTCCTTTCCAACTACGCGGCAATCGACAATTCGCTCAAACTGATTGCACCACAAAACTACCGAGGATGTGCGCATGTCAAATACATACAAGCCAAATTCTGTGAATGCTAGCATAAAGTCCTTGTTTAGCATTTGAACTTTTGAGAATTGCAAATTTTGGGGTTGGTAGTCGAGCATTTCATCATTTTCTTCATACTTAGCAATCGTCTCTTCTTCCATGCCATGGAATTTATGTATTTTTACTGGTGGTATGGCTAAAGCAGACTTGAATTGATGCGTCTGCAAAACTTCGCCTTCGAAATCGACCTCCCAAATTCGTGAGCCAGGACGTGCGCAGTAAATGCGTGAAGGCTGAACAGCTTCATTTGTAGATATTCCAAAGCAAGCGCCGAAAGCTCCATCGCGTGGACGATTACCGATCTAACGAAGAACTGTATTTACTTGCTCACCTTCATTAAATGTAATATGTAATCTCAAATACCTGTTTATATTCCTCGTACTCAGTATTGCATAAAATGCATTTGGTACAGTTCGAAACAAGTAGTAGTGATTCAAAGTCATCAATTTGCACAATTGGTGATTCCAGGAACAATATAGGATGTACGCCCATATTAAGTAGACTTTTACCCTATAAATTGAGGGATGTACGTTTAGCACAAAAACTATCATATATGTTTGTAATCATAATTTTAATTACTCACAATAAAAGATGATAGTAAAACCAAGTTAACTTGACCACGAGTGTCACCATAGTAAAACTGTTTCTCATCCTGGGTCCAATGAATGCACGTCACTTGCAGAGATTGATCGCTACTTAAATTCGTGTAGATAACTTGAGGGGTTGTGTGTGCAGAAAGATTTACTGCGTACACACATATCATGGAGCGTTGTGTGGAGAATGCGACATACTTTTCATTAGCCGATATTGCTAAATGTGTCACCGGTCCATGCTTGTTGGGTATGAGGTGCAAAAATTTGCCAGAACACCGATTGAAGAGATACAATGAACCGGAAGATGCTCCGAAAATAACATAATTCGTAGAAATATCGAAGCAGGTGTACTGAAATTGATAAACATGCATATTACAAAGAAACTATTAAATAGTTTTGGAAAATTTTCCCTTTTTATGTATAATGACCCTCACCTTTATGCGATTACTGTGCTTCAGCGGCTCGTGGAGCGCTTGTGAAAAATCAATAAAATTGGAAAGACAATATAGCTCCGTCATTATTTCCTCATGCCACAGAAGGTACAAATATGCAGATTTTGTTTTTATTAAATGCCAAGTTATTTGGGTCTTTTTGGAAATACTTTTTTTATTATAAACACAACATTCACCCACCAATTTTTATTCACCTTCTCATCAGAAGAAAGCAATCGCTCGATGAAAGTCGAAAGGTATCATGGCGATGACAGCTATTAGGCCGAATATACCACACACACACACACAGTAGGTCTGCGCATCATGGGTATTTCACCGCGATGCGCAAACCGTCTCATAGTGGCTACGTTTCTTTATACATTTCAGTTAATCCCATTTCGCAACCAAAATAAACAGAATGCGTTTGAAATATACTTTAACATATCTTCAGGAACGTTCTAAAGAATAAGTAAACAAAAAAGTTTATTCTAAACGTTCAGAATGAATAAAGGGCAAGAAGGCAGTATATTTGGTCTCCCTAAAGTCTGCAAATACTGTCTCACATGCGGTCTGTGTAAAATCTAAAAATTTTGATTTTGGTCGCCAATGCACAAACGAAATGTGTTGTGTTTGTTGAAATTTCATCAAGCTTGTTTAGTTTTCATGGAGTGTAGATCTGCGCGGATAAGATAAACCATTTCTGTTAAATTGTTTAAAATGTTAAATTTGTTTCAAATATCTGTATGGTATAAGACGAATGGTGTTGTATGCGCATCGCGGTGAAAGTACTCGTGAGGCGCAGAGTTGCTCTGTTGTGTATTTGACTTATAATAGTAGAATTTTCTTCATCATTTCAAGTATACCTTAGATATTAAAAAAAGGATGAAATTCCTTGATGGTGTGTGAGAGTGCTTTCCGCTTTCCTTGGTTGTTCATAGTTAATTTAGGAGATATCATGGCGATAAATCTGTCGTTTATTATATTACATCAAATATTTCTTATCCGTTAATAGTAGGAACCTAGCATTATGCAGAGCACTTGCGACCCTGCATGTGCTTTCAATTGCTGCTACTTTTATCACCGATTATTTGTTTTGTTATTATTTTCGCTTCTTTCTCGAATCCCTTTTCCATCATTTCATGTTGACTTTTTTTGGTGCAATTTGTTCAGCTTCGTTCACACCTGGTTTTGAGAGCACTTGTTAACTTTTATTGGATACTTTAGGCTTTTACCTTTCCACCAGGAGTCGTAAAACTGCAAATATATTTCGGGAATTCGTGCGCCGCTGCCAATAGAAGAGCTCTGTAACTAAAGCCAACTCTTTATCTATTTGCCTAACATGTCCTTTCATTTGAGCACTAAGGAGCGTTTGCTATTGCTATTAGATGACATTGAATTAGTGGCCAAGTAAGTTCCAATAAGTTTTATAATCCAAATAAAGCTCCTTAATTTCTTTCAATCCCTTCAGAGAGCTGATCGAAAATACAGTTGCACCAAAGCATCAGAAAATTTCAACAGCTGAACACACCGCGCTAGTGGATTTACTGGTATCCAAAGATGAAGAGTTCAGAAAAATTTTAGAATTAGCGGATGAGCAAGCTAAAATCGAGCAAAAAATGGACGAGCTGCGTGCCAAAGTTGAAGTGCATGTAAGTGCAAGTGTTTCAGTCGCCAAATAGCTTACTGTTTCAATTATACCTTCTATAGGATCGGGAAATACAAAAGTTGCAAAAATCACTAAAGGAAGCTGAACTTATACTTTCTACCGCAATTTTTCAAGCACGTCAAAAATTGGCTAGTATTAATCAAGCAAAAAAGCGTCCTGTTTCCTCAGAGGAACTCATCAAATATGCTCATCGCATTAGTGCCGCGAATGCGGTGAGTGCACCATTGACTTGGTGCATCGGCGATGTCCGGCGTCCCTACCCAACCGATATCGAGATGCGTAACGGCTTTCTAGGCAAATCGGATTTGAACATAAATGGTGGCGGCGTGGCACTTCAAAACAACGTGCCGGATGCACAACGGAGCATGGCGGAAGTGCCAAACGCATTTCAGAATCAATTCAATTGGAATAATCTCGGTGAGTTACACATGTCTATGGGCTCCACAGGCAATTCTGTAGCGCTGGAAACACGTGCACACAAAGAAGCATCCCAGGATGATGTCGAGGTCATGTCTACGGACAGTTCCAGCTCTAGTTCGAGTGATTCACAGTGAAAAGATTTGAACACAAACATTTAAATAGCTATTTCAGTATGTACTTTTTTAATAAAAACAAAATTATTATATAAAAAATACTTTTTATTGAAACTTAAAAAAATACAAACAATGTTAGTACACATCCTATCAGCTAAGAGTTTTGTACGCAGACTACTTGAGCTTACAGTTGGCTATTTCGACTTCGGCATAGGCATTAACTCGAAACCACCACTAGAACTTGACTTCTTGCACAACCACGCGTTGTTACCACCTTTGTTGGCTCCTCCTCTGCCTTTGCCGCTAGTGCTGGCAACAGTTTTTCGCCGTCCAGCTCTTGGTGAAGCAGTGCTGCCACCTCTAGCTTTTGACGACGCACGTTTTTTGGGGCTCTTGTTGCTCACTGCCCAACTTGTAGCCTTTTTAGCACGCTTAGCCCCACCACTGTTCCATGCACGTTTACGTTTACGACCACCACTGCTTTGCGAAGTACCCTGGGAGGCTGCTACCGATGCCCAACTGACTCCGTCATCCTCTTCAGAATCGTACGAATTAGTTGTTTGTACACGTGCATTTCCCGCTGTAGTAGTACTGGGTTTCTGCTGTTGCTGGTGCGCGTCTTCTAGATCCATCAGCAAACACAGCTTTTCGGCAGCATAATTACGAGTAATTTCTAACATTTTACTGCCATATTTGTCAAAATTCGCTTTAGTAACATGCGGTATGCTCAACATATCACTCTCCGACTCAGGCAGTGTTTCAGACATTGCTTTTAATGCTTGCATATTCATTATACTAGCCATAGTGACGCTGCGTGCTGCAGCTATTGTTCGGCACAAATCCAAGAGGTCCGCATAGCAACGTTCGTAAATTGAACGTATTCGTGAGGCACCAGCTGAAGCAGCTGCACTCTGATTTGCGACAATAGCAGTGCCACTGCTAAAGCCGGGCAATGTACGTTTCATACTTTCTTTACGTGAAACGGCGAAAGTTAATGGTATGCTATCCTGCATTAACGCCTGGACTTTGGGACCTAAATAAATATACGCCTGTGGAATATCATTCGAAAATATTAAGTCTTCGCGCAAAAAGCCCTCTAGAACCATTTTACGCAATAAGCGCTGTATATCCGATTTGTCCCAATCTTTGAAAATGCCGTGATGTGCAGTTTTATCGTGATGAAATTCCACGATGCGTTTGATCAGAGAACCTTTGAGCACATCAGCTACAAAAAATAAAAATAAAAAATAAATAATGGAGGAGATAAAAATTAAAAACACGTCGCATACCAATATATAACAGGGTAAAGCGCGAGCGGCCGCCACATATGTCTTTAATAGCATGTGCCACCTTTCGACACTGCTCCAAAACATTTATTTCCTGTAGAGAAATGCAAAAAGGTATTAGATGGTTATTATATTACCCTTGCAAAGTGAGTGTTTACAAAATAAATAAATGTAATTACACTAGAAAATTATTAAAAAATCGCATATATTAAATTAAAGTCCTCGATAACCTCTAAACAAACCATGTCCAGCGCTATCAGAACTCCATATGCAAGTGCAACAAAACTTTTGTTCAGCATGCCTTTTCGAAACTCTCGAATTTTTGTAAAAAGTAAATTCGAGCCTAGCCCTTTTTAGGACTTGAGAATGCTCTAAATAGGTCCTTTCATACTTTACCTGATAACTCTGCTTTTTAAGGCAATTATCACAGGCTGTTTCTCGTCGTTCCAGACATTGTTCGCTGGTGAAATGCTCGCCAAAGTAGTCCAGTTGTTGCGCACGCCGACAGTCTGTGACGTTTTCACAGTATCCCACAATGCGATTCAAATTATCTAAATGTATCTTCTTCACTTCCAAACCCACAGTATTATCCACTAAAATAAAAAGAAAACATATTTTCAACTGAGATCTATTTTCATTCCTCACCCACTTACAGTCCAACAATTTTTTCATCCTCATCATATCTGAATAATTGTAGTAAAGTATACAGTGGGCCACATCACCATCGCGTCCCGCTCGCCCTGCCTCCTGGTAATAGCCTTCAATAGCTTTTGGCAGAGAATAGTGTAGCACAAAACGTACATCAGGTTTATCAATGCCCATACCAAATGCTATTGTCGCACATATCACTCGCACTTTACCAGTGAGCCAGTCCTTTTGACGAGTCTCGCGGATCGCATCGGTCAACCCGGCATGATAAGCTAGTGACTTTATGCCAACAGTGTGCAATTTATTAGCTACATCTTCGCATTCCTTACGCGATAAACAGTAAATTATACCACTCCAGTTGGAGGGACGTGAGTGTATAAAAGATTTTATATCATCCAAAGTGCTGATGCCACGCTTAGGCAATACCGAATACTTTAGATTACTACGATTAAAACTAGATAAGAACCACTTGGTGTGTGTTAAGTGCAATTGGCGGAGTATATCAATGCGCACGCGTGGAGTAGCCGTGGCAGTAAGCGCCATAGTGGGCACTTTGGGGAAACGTTTACGTAATATGCCAAGTCGCTTGTAATCTGGGCGAAAATCATGCCCCCACTGCGACACACAATGCGCCTCATCAATGACAAAACGACTAATGTGATTAGTGGCGTACAAATCATCAAGTGCGTCCTGGAATTGAGGAGAACTGGAGATTTTCTCCGGCGTCACATAAAGAATTTTGATACGTGGCGGCATGGTTTTTAAATCACAAAAGATGGCACGCACTTCCTGCAGAGTTTGAGTACCGGACAAACTTTTGGCATATATCTAACGAAAGAGTATTTAAATATAATGTACTATCAAATGCATAATTTTTCAATCTACTCACATCAAGCGATTCCAATTTATTAACCTGATCCAGAATCAGAGACTTTAAAGGACTGATGACAAGTGTCACGCCTTCAGTTAACAATGCCGGTAGCTGGTAACAAAGAGACTTTCCGCCACCGGTAGGCATCAGCACAAAACAGTCATGTCCCAACAAGGCCGCGTTGATCACCTGCAATTGATTGGGTCGAAAACTTTTCAGTCCGAAATTGCTCTTCAAAGCATCTTTGACAGCTTGCGCGTGTGGGTAATTATAACCGTCGAATTCACCAGTTATGCCATCGTTATGTGTATCAGCATGGAAATTCCCAGCTACTTTCTGCGCAACTTTCACGGGAGATGGGCTGGATGCAATCGTTATAGGCGCATTTTGTCTTTGCATACTATTGAATTCTTTTACTGGAGATGGACTGGATGCGATCGCTATAGACGCATTACGCCTTCTCATACTTGCGGCACTCGTCGAAGGCATGTTGTAGTCTTCATCTTCGCTAAGCGTTATATTAATTGTGGGCACAATGGTATTTGTATTTGGGACGGACGATTTTGATACTGGTGAATCCAAAAGTACAGCCTGTGAGGCTGCTATTTCAAACTTCTCGGGATCATACACTTGCCAACCATCGTCGTCGGTTTGAGTTGACCATATCTGCAGTTCATCGGGTGTAACTGTATTCGCAGCAACGTTTTCTTTCTTAGAACTCGATTGATTCTTAGGTGTAGCTTGATCTTCGAAATCTTTATAAGCATAATTATTGTATTCTGATTTTCGTCCACGAAGCGAATCCTCTTGATCGTGTATATCTGCTATTAAAGCCTCCAAATCATCTTCGTCTTCTTCTGCCAGTTTAGTAGAATTTAGACTCAATATTTCTTTTGGATTGCTGCTCAACTCCTCTACGTCTAAAGCGGCGGCTTGTGTTAAATATGCCCGCTGCTGCTCTTCGTCGTCAGTACTCTCCTCAGGCCCAGACGCATCGTTGCCGAACATCTCATGCAAATCAGGTGTCCGTGACGCGCTGATTTCTTTTTGGCCTGAGGAAAAGAGGGGTTTTTGGGCGTTGTTGAAAATACTCTGGGGTGTACTGGTCATTGACTTTGTCTCCGCTTGCCATTTGCTTTCCTCACGCATTTGCATTTCTTCTTCCTCCAACGCATCGTAGTCCAGATTACATTCATTTTGCTGCTGATCTCGGACGCTCGCCGCTCGTTTCTCTAACTCTTTTTCGACAAGTTTCGTTCGCGCTTTTATTTTATTTCGCATAGTCTTCAAGCGCAGAAATATGTTGGTGTCGAAACCATCAATCCCACTGAAATAATTTACTGGGATTTGATCAACGATCTGAACATACTTCTCCAATAACTCGAATTGAATGGATTTGAGGAACGTTGTGCTTGTCTTCAACTCTATATCCGAAGCCTGCAACAAGGAATATATACATAAATGCAAAAAGGAATACTTTATGGACATATAACAATTCGTTTATATCAACTTACGTCTTTTGTACTTCTTTTAAATGTCGAATCTTGTTCGACCTTATTTATGTAATCAGGCAGCTGAGCATCAATGACTATTTTTGGCTTACTCGGAGTTTTTGTATTATCCTCATTATGTTTAGAGCCATTAAACATATATCGCTCGGTTTTAAAAGGCGACTTTTCAGAATCTTTTCTGCAACTCAGTGAGTCATTTATTTTTCTCTCGTTACTTTTTTTGGAAGGCGATTCCTGACTCAATTGCTTTGGTTTGCTTTTAGGCACCGGCAGCGGCATCATATCAAATAAGGACAATTTTTCCTCAAGCTTTTTGCCTATGTGGCCATTAGTTAGTCCCTTTGGTGAATCAAATTTTAAATCTTTATTGTCACCAGCATCCTTTTTTATGGGCGATTTGCTACTTATATTCTTAGTTGGAGTTTTGTGCGCAGAATGGTAATCAGCCAGTTTGGAATATTTTGTGGAAACCTCCTTCTCTTTATTTTTTGTAACCATCATACCACTTTGGGAAGTCTTTGCGCCGCCGCTTCCGCATATTTGTGGAGATTCCGGTTCCGATAACTTTTTCTTCACTTTCGTTAAGGGCTTAGCCTTTTCGGGCGTTTTTTCCAGGCAGTCAAATTTGTAGCCCACGTCCTTGCTATTTCCTTTGTTATTCGCAGCGGCTTTATCCTTTCCTTTAATATTTTCCTTCGCCCTAGGACTGCTTTCATTATAGCTTGTGTCTAAAGAAATATATTTTGAACTATTATGAGAGCTTTTGGTATTTTCTCTTGGTTTTAAAGGAGCTACAGGTGCTTGGCTGCAGTCATCAAATGTGTAGCGTTGTACGGTTGCCTTTGCTGTTTTATTAGGATTGGTTTTATGATATGCTGGTTGTTTCTCTTCATCTGTCTCGCTGTCGTCCGTTGAAGAATCCAGAAATATGGGGTTCATCATTTTTTTTGACTGCTGTTTTCGCAGAGGAGCGTAAGCGAGACTCTTGGCATCCTTTACCGCCTTATCGTCCAAGTTGCCCTTCATGGCCACACCTGCTAAACTTTGTGTGGAAGATTTATCTGAACCATCAAGCTTCGTGTGGTCATTCCTAGGCTCTTTACTGCCGAGAAAGGAACTCAGGGATAATTGTTTTTTGAATACCGCGGTTCGATTGCCATTTGTTATACTCATGTTACGGATTTCCCCCAAGAATTGCGAAAATTTGGACAATAGAAAAAGCTGATTTCCCAAGAGCGGGATTTTTTAATTTTTTATTTTGATTCTTAAGCTGAAATTAGTCAAGAACGTAAACCTACCGGTACGTAAACCCGAGTCAGCTGACACGATCTGTCTTACCAAAGCGCCATGTAACACCCGATTTACACGATTCAAGTACTTGAAAGCAATTCTTGCTCATTCTCTTTTGTGTTTTCTATTTGCTTTTACACGTTTCAATTCTGTTGAATTCAAGTTTTTGGTTCTTTAAATGGGAAGCAACGAAAATGCCAAAAGCAAAGCAAGAAAGTTGAAACGACTTGACGGTACAGACGCATGCGTACTCGTCCCTTTTCTTCTCAACCCCTCTCTTCCACATGCGAGCAGAATTGAATTCAATACTTGAACTGTGTAAAAGCAGTCTAAATGAAAACTCAACACCGCAGAATTTTTCTATAGTTGTAGCCCGTAGCGCAGAAATCTGCGGAATTTAGATTTTTCTGTGTCAGCTGATTTCTCCTTCTTTAGATGGTTGCCACTTCGTCAGTTTTGCAGATGGTAAAAAGTTAAAAGTTCCTATTCGAAATATGTTTAAAATATTTGAAATTTACTATTAAATAAGGTTTCTCTTGAAAACTAAGTAGTTTATATTTAGTTACAATCTATTATAGCACGAAAAATTGTGGTTGAAAGGGTAAGTTTATGAAAAGGCATTGAAGAGTGGCAACAGTGTAGTAGCAACACTGAGGGCTCCAGTAATCGACAAAATTCTGCTATACAGACTGCGTAAGTATACGTTCTGCGTTCTCGACTAATTTCAGCTTTAAGCTGAAATTAGTCAAGAACGTAAACCTACCGGTACGTAAACCCGAGTCAGCTGACACGATCTGTCTTACCAAAGCGCCATGTAAATGAAAACTCAACGCCGCAGAATTTTTCTGTAGTTGTAGCCCGTAGCGCAGAAATCTGCGGAATTTAGATTTTTCCGTGTCAGCTGATTTCTCCTTCTTTATATGGTTGCCACTTCGTCAGTTTTGCAGATGGTAAAAAAGTTATAAGTTCCTATTCAAAATATGTTTAAAATATTTGAAATTTACTATTAAATAAGGTTTTTGTTTAAAACTAAGTAGTTTATATTTAGCTACAATCTATTACAGCACGAAAAATTGTGGTTGAAAGGGTAAGTTTATGAAAAGGCATTGAAGAGTGGCAACAGTGTAGTAAGCAACACTGAGGGCTCCAGTAATCGACAAAATTCTGCGTATACAGACTGCGTTTAAGTACACGTTCTGCGTTCTCGACTAATTTCAGCTTTATTCTCCGCTGCATGTCTATGACTTTCGTTGCCAGATCAAATTTAATTATTAAAGGCATTAAAATTAGTGGAGGCACGATTAATTAAATAACCGATTATAGTCGGTTATTTCCATTCCGTTAACGATTTAATTGTATCGAAATTTTCCTTTCCATTAATGGAGCGATTAACCGATTAATTTTGAAAATAATCGAAAAAAAAAACATTAAAAAATGACTACTTTACCCACACAATAATATATCAATCAAAATTCCGTAACAAAATTGGCATTCTTACCACTAATGTTAGCAACAAAAAAAGTGTCCACTCTACGCGATACATATATATCGCACACCGTCTTCAAAAGAGTCACAACTCAAAATAATACGTTCGACAGAAAATGCGAAAAACTATTTCGTAGCACATGCTTATCATATGGGCAGGGCGACTTTACCTTAGGTTTTTTAACAAATTATAACAAAAATTTGCTTCAGCTTTTGCTGAAAGGTAAATAAAAGCTCTGTCTACATTTTTAGCGCATAATCTCAAAAATGCCAAATTTTGAGTTGTGACTCTTTTGAAGACGGTGTACGATATGTATAATTTTACTGGTTGGGAGATTTTGTACATTGCCGTAGTCTGCAAATTTTTAAACGATATTTTTGCAAAAAAGTGCAACCTAAGTAACAACTAAAAAATCACAACGCAGGTATCCACATATTTTCATTTTATTTTCCAAATGCGGTGTTGTGCATTTTCTTCCATGCGCTTTTTTATATGGAAGAAAATAAGAATCATCGTAAAAAAAATGCCAAAAATCAACGGTAAGTGATACCTCAATCCCGAAATTTTTTATACAAAAATTTAATGGGCTACAAAACTGCATGCTGAAAATCTTTCTAAGAAATCTAATTAAAAAGCTGGAATTTTTTGCTGAACTTTATTTTTTTATTGCATAAGGTTTTTTCTATTTATATTTATACGGTTTTTGCTAAAGAATAAGCTGTATTTAAAAAAATAACTAAAATTAAATTCTCCTAATTTTTACATGGGGTATATAGCGGACGGTATACTACTTAACATCTTTTTATTTATTGTTTCCCTTAGTTTTTAATTTTCTTGATTGTTGGCGCACTGAATTCATGGCGCTAGTTTTCACAATTTAACAAGAAATGTATATTTAAACAAAACAGTCAATTTTATAACTTATGTAAATGGT